GATGCAATCTGCCATAAAACTCTCACTAAAACCAGTCCCTAATTGATGCAATCTGCCATAAAACTCTCGCTAAAACCAGTCCCTAATTGATGCAATCTGCAGGTGTTCTGGTGTGGTTTGCCCTTTCTTTCCTATCAAACACCTATCGTCCTGATCTCTCCTGCTTCTTTTTTTTGTGTTTGATGCTCTCTTGTAGTGCCTCTAATCTTCGGCACTTTAAGACCGTATTGTGTTGCAAGTGCCGTAAAACTATAACCAGAACATGACGTAATCTCTTTTCCCCCCCCCCACAAACACACCCTGCCTTGAAAGTTCCTAGTCTGTAAATAGATATTATAAACTTTATCTCTCACCTCTCTACCTTTCTACTATTGGTTAGCAAATTGTTGTTCTATTCACTTTTACCCCTGCAACAAGTATAATGGATGTGTATCTATATCATATATAATATATCGCTCATAATATTCTTTGCATTATTTCAAATACCATACTCAAGTTTGTTGGTTTTTAGATACTTTAATTGGTGCTACATTTGTTGCTATAAAGTGTCATCATCTTACTATGCGAAGAATCAATATTATTATTATCTATGATTCTGTGGTGGCCATTTTACAAACACAACCTGTTATGAATAAAAGTGCAACTGTTGAAGAAGAGAAAATGGAATAAAGAAGGAAACTATACCGGTACTATTACTAATCATTTGTCCTTTTTCTTCTTCTTTTTTTTTCACCTTGTTTTATGTTTTTAATTTTAAGTTTAAGTAAAGATTTACAATGTCAGAACACAGGTGGTCGGCAGGTTCTCTGGTGTGGTTTGCTCCTTCCCTCCTATCAATCATCTGTCATCTTGATCCCTACTCTTCTTTTTTGTGTTTGTTACTCTCTTGTAACACCTCAAATCTTCGGCACTTATAATATATGAGCTTATTGTGTTGCAAGTGCTGTAAAACTCTTACTAAAACTAAATTGTCAGAACAAGGAGACTGGGATAGATTTCACTGCCTTGTATGATTAGACCTGCTGGGCCACCCTTTGTCAAGGAGAAAAGTGGCCATATAAGACAGGTGGTCTTTTCTTACTTAGTGTCCTTATAATGTAAAAACATACGCAAGGGAAGAAATGGGAAGTGAACGTTTTTATAGATGATTGTTTTATACGGGTAGCCGTTACAGCAGGTTCGACTGTATATGTAATTTTCACGTACGTATCCTACAAGATGCCCACCCTAACCGGCGTCTGTAGCGGCTGGACATTTCGTCATCGCATGTAGAAGACGGGAGTTCACTTCAGGGGTGGGGAGAATTTTTATCAAGTATCTCGGTCTTTTTGCTGGAAGTGGAATGTTGTATCCCTCTCAGCCCAGGTAGGCCTTTGCAGGCAGGATCAAAGACCTACTCCTAAATGATTGAAATTATGTTGATGGGGGTGTTGAAAACACACATTTTAAGAAAAATGCTCACCTTTATTTTCACTCCGATTTGTAATTATCTTACTGTTGTTTCCAATATTATTATCATAAACTAAGGGACCTCGATGATCAAGAACGCATCTTTAGGGAAGACACTATTGAGACAACCTAACTGTTCTGTGTAAAGCTGAAACAGTTTTGAGTGATTTTTTTATGTCAAAAGAGGTTAACAAAAATTTCTCATGGACTCTTCAACACTTTGACTTTCATTCCATTCGGTTCTCACAGGAGGTCAGATTTGAGTCTCAGGCCTGAAAAATGAGGCAATCTTGTGTATCAGGTTACTCACTTACCTTCAACACAATTGAAAATTGCAATGAGTAAGTATTAGTATTAGTAACTTACAGTTGAGTATGGATATCTCGAACACGTTGGGGATTGACAAATATGTTTAACACGTGGCGGTTCAGTCGAGGAATGGCAAAATGTACAAACTATCCGTGATTTCAAGTTTTCCGTGTTAATGTTTTCTGTGCCTGACTGTACAAAAAGTACATGGATTGTGCCATGCAAAAAATGACTTAAATTTTAAAGAATTTTCCTCAGGGAACGCAGGAAGAAACTTTACCTCATGAGGGACTGGCTGAACCATAAGCTTGAGCTTGCATTAAAGAATAAAAAAAAGCAAAATTGCTTTTTCACAAATGGCATCTCATGAATTATTTTTTAAGGTTTAGAATGTAGCTCTCATTCTCTCAAAATAAATATGTGAAATCTTTTCACTTATTTCCTAATCATTCTGTACTTATCAACAAGTTATTGCCCAATGATATTCAGATATATCTTGAAACAAATATTTACCAACACAAATTGAAAAAAAAAATAAATGAGACTCTTTATTTTCAGATTTGGGTCATCAATAATACTGACAGACAACATAAGTCAAATAAGTGCATACATTGACCAAAACATATCTCATACCATAGAAAATTTCTTTGAGTTTTAAGTGCTCTTTTTGTAAGCCTTGTTTTAACACCTTCGTGACCACCAAAGAATCTTATTTATAATAACTTTATTTCCTGGCAGCATTACTTTCAAGACCAGTGACACGGAGAGTCAATTTCATTGTTCAAATTTTTTGTCTAAACAAAGCTGTCCCACTTTCTGTAAGCCTAGAAGAAGTCAATAAATTCCAGATTTTTGCTAAATTGATGTGAAAATGAAAATGTTTTATTTTTCATTTCTGAAAATAACCTCTTCTAATCTTAGTACAATTTATACTTGGCAAATTCTCTCGTACAAATATTTAAAGCATGCATGGTCCTGGCTGGTCAGCCAGTTTTACGCATGTTGGATCGCTGGTCGCTAAGGTGTTAACAGTAATGAGACACAAAACTTATCCACTGTTCAAAATGGCAAAAAATGTATGAAGACTAGCCTTTGGCATAGGCATTCTTTTCCACCCTCAGTGCACTATCACAATACAATGTACAGTACTAATATATGGCTCACTAAATACTTGAGCCATATTTGGCATTTTAATTACGTACAGTTGTTTTTTCTTTTATATATAAATAATAAATGAGAGTTTCATTTTAACTTCTTTCATTGCTTCCATTTATATTGTAGTTGTTCCTAAAATATGTCGTTTGGAATCTATTTCGGAAACATTTCGTACTTAAAAAAGAAAAACATAGGAATATACAACTTACATTTTAAACTTCTGTTCCGGAATACATTTTAAGAGACTAAAAAAGAAACTACATGCATGTATGGAAGCAAATCTAATAATTGCTTCAATGAGCTGTGATTAAAATTTTCATTAGATTCATTACAGTCATAGGTGCTTAGAATTAGGCTAATTACTAACTCCTACTGAATTGCCTACAAAATGAAATATATAACTAACTGCTTGGTTCTATTCTAGGTATAGAAAAAAGCATTATGAATAGAAACAAGAAGGAAATTTATAGACGGAAAAAAGCCTACAGGTAAAGCAGCGTTATTGCTTCAAAACAAAAATGTAATACTGTTAAGTTTTATAGTCGCATTATGGCAGGTCTTTTCATCATTCATGACTGTACTGTGCATTTGAGATTTTGTACAAATTTTACAGTCTTCTATGTTACACTACACAGTTGCACATTCTGATTGTAGTAAGCAAGTTTGCCAAAATTGACAATGACAAAATATATAGTGGTAATACATAGCATAGCAAAAATATATGTTCAGCAGTGTAATTTAAAGCTATCTCTCTGTTTGAGTTTGAAGGGCCAGTAACATTTTTTTAAATGTTCACAATGAAAATATTTTTTTCTCTCACAAATATTTCAATACCTCATAAAAAGTCATGAGTATCAATATTTTTTCATCCCTTAAAGTTTGAAAGAAATTATGATAGGATATCTATCCACTTTCAGGCACCCACATACACAGTGGAGTTTACTTAAACCGAACACGACTGATCCGAAAACAGAGGTAACCCGAAAGTAAATTAATCTCCCCCTTTTTTTTCTTCTAGTTCAGCAGTCTCTCTAAACCGAAAACCTGGCTAAACTGAAGAAAATTCGGTAGTCTCACAAATTTCAGTCTAAGCGAACACCACTCTATATTATTGTTATAGAAACCAACACCGGAGTTGGGCCTGAAGTGAGAACTTCACCACTTGTCTGACCACAGACATAAGGTGATAAAACACTGGCATTTCACCACCCTTCAACGAGAAGACTAAAGTTGTTGTAACTAGCAACAGCAATAGTTACCAAGCTTTGATGACTTTTCAGGTTAATGATGTTTTCATTAGTATATTTTGAAATTTTCATGTGATGACAAGCTAGGGGTCAAAGGATCACATGCCTTCATGGACGTCCAGGCCACATCACTGCTCCGGTTTGTAAAGTACCGGTGATGAAAAGAATCCTGTTTTTAAAAAACGGGGCATACTGCCAACAACATCATGTACGGATTTCACTTTTGGCAAAGGTTACTTATCCACTCCTCAAGGTTTCCATAGGTTCAAAACCAGTTTTACCTTCATTCTGAGTGTTACACAGACAAAACTTCTTGGAAGTTAGTGCTAAGACTACAGTGACTCTACCTTCATGAGTAAAAAACATATTTCTCTACAACAAGACAGCTCTTACAACAAAAGATATAACAATCTACTCTAGTAGTCTTAAGATCTCCCTGAATTTTTCACAAGCAAAAATGAGAAGTATAAATCAAAGTGAAATATTTTCATCTTTCATCTTCTCTACGAACATTTCTCCATCAGTAAACTTCATCAATATAATGCTCCAAACTATCTATATTGCTTCTGATAACAAAAACCAGGATGTGTATATATTTCTCAAATCATCCTATACAGTTAAAAACAAACATTTGAAAACAAAAGCAAAGAAAACAGTCAATCTCAATGGAGTATACATGGATTCTTCAAATGCATTTGAGGCAGAGATGTTAACGTAATGTTCAGTTTCTGAGCCAAGGCAGCTTAACAATCTTCTCTGCATCTGGCCACTCATAACGAGTCTGATACTCTGTGAAGCTGGGAACATAGCGAGCTGTCTGCATGGGCCTGCCGTAGATGCCAAAGTTGGGGGCTGGGTTGATCCTAAAGTCGGAGGTCGGGACGTCAGTATCGGGGGCCTTGAAGCGTTGCATGTACTCAGTTCTCCCAGGGAATGTGGTGTTGATGCCAGCCTGAAAACAAATATATGTCACTTGTACAATATCAACAATGTCATACTTACAAAATCTGTGTATGCATTAGAAAAAAAAGTTTTAAGTAGGAAACAGGGTTTCAGTGACTTTGAACTTTCTACAGTAAGGCATCAGGTAGTTTACCTTAAAATCTTTTCACTTTATGAGTTTTTCAAGAAGTTACAACTAAATATACATTTTTTAATGTGGTAATCAATTTATTAAATTTATCTTTTATATTAACTCATTAGCAAAATGTACACAAACTCAAAAAAGAAAAACAAAGAAGGCCTACCAGCTCTTGACCGCTTTTTTCTAAAGTTGAGTTATTCTGAGCAATGAAGAGCTAGTGTTTTAAGAACTGAGCCAATACATGTGTAGTTGTAAACTGAAATGTGACCCAGATATACAAATAGTAAAAGTACTCAATAGTTTGGTTATTATCAAGATTATATTATACTATTGGTTACTTCCAGTTAAAAAATCATAATAATCTGAGAAAGGTTAGGTCAGTGTAAGTGTAGCAACTTAACATTAAAGTCTACAAATAAGATGTCACCCCTTTTCCTTACCGGTAACTGAAATGTCTCACAATTATATTCTTTAAAAGCTACAATGCTGTCTGTAACCAAACTAGCAGTTGAGCAAAAACCATACAGGTCAGTTCTGACTACCGATTGGTAAAACAAAAAAGTAATAATTGAAATGGCTTTTGAGAAAATTCTTGTTGAAGTAATAGATGACTATTTCTGCATCTCTAAACTAAGACTGATCCCGAGCGTAGTCCCATAAAAAAGGTGGTGGCTGAAGTGTGCCATTAGTATGTCCTGCTTTTTTTTTCACTCTCCCCCTTACATTTCTGCCCATCAGTCTTGCTCTCTCAGGGTACTAAACGACTGTTATTGCACTGATGTGCTTCTCTACTTAAAACTAAATTCCCTGACAGGCTACATTCCCCATCATTCTTCGAACATCAGAGTGCGTTGCATTCATTTGATTCATCTGTGAAAATATGGGTGTTCAAAAATCGAAGCTCATGATTTAACCTGCAGGTTTGAAAGGCATAAGTCAGAAACTTGGCTATATTATCACTATCAAACTCAAATACAACACATGAAGGAGAAATGTTGCTTCATTCAATGTTCTTTCTCTCAGTTACTTTTTCTCATTTTATGCAAGTTTACTTTAATTCTTTATTTAACTTCAGCTGATATTTTTTTTTTGGGGGGGGGGAGATGTCTGAAATGAAAACATTGCATCTAAAAATGAAAGTGACGTAAAGCACAAAATTTAAAAATTTCATGTTCACAAAAGAAAGCTGCAATTTCCTCACCTGCTCTTGGACACTCATTTTCTCGTACGGCGCTGTGGTCGCTGGTCTCTGGTTCGCCAGCTTTTCCATCCTCTCATACTGAGAAGCAGCATTCATGGCGTTGAGCGTCTTCACCTCGTTCATCACATTGGAGCTCCGAGCTGCTCCGCCATCAAGAGGGCCAGTAGACTTGGGGTACAGGGAGTCGATTGTTCTGTAACCTTGAAACAATGAAAGAAGAACGCACAATACCACCAAATATTTGAATGAAAATGTCAGCTCTTGCAGAATGCTAAACCCCACAATGAGGTCATTCTTTGCAAAGTTCTTAAACTAGATTTTAAAAAAGTATTCTTCTTAAACACTACTGTGCAGCCTAATCTGCCCATGCCCATCCTTTGATGACTTTTTCTTTTAAATCTGACCGCTTGAAACTGCCCACTCCAAAGTAATCATCAGTTTTCACATCCCTGGAAAAACTAAATTTCATATATATATAGAAAGCAGGGCGTATGCATATATCCTGTGATTATCAAATTTTCACTGAGTGATTTGATGCAAAGTGAGCTATTTGCTTTTGCCGTATATACGTATTATGACAATGGCACAGCTAAGCAGCATTTTGACACATAAACTCTCATCAGTTCCTGGTGATCTTCTGCATATTTCCAAAGGTACATAATTCACGTGACTGAATAAGCTCACCTCTGGTAACCCTCATTCCAGGGTTGCAGTCTCCAAATCTGATCTGTTTCTTCATGGCTCCGATGTTGGAAGGGGGCACAGCGCCAAACTCACTAAATTCTAGACTGGGCTCACCAACAGTCCTCACAGTTCTGTTCATCACGCGTTGATCCAGGCCTGGACTTCCAATTGCTGGAATTTTTAAAAAAGAATACACACCATCTTTCAAAATAACAAATCTCATACATGTTGTTGTATGGAAATTTCAAAATGAAACTATTTACATCTGGTGAAATAAGAACAAAAGCTGCATCATAACATAAAAATATAACGATAAATTTGAATATTTCTTACTTCATGACAAGAACAATCAGCAACCACGACCTCTGTACAAGATGTATTTTCTTTTTTAACAGTCAATTCTAAAACAGACATAATAGGATTTAATTCTATGCTCTCTTTGCAAAATTGGACGGATATCCATTTGTTACAGATCACGGAATAAGTGTAGCTCTAAAGTAAAAGGCACAATGTTAAATATTACTTCCCTCCGCAGTACAGCACATCAACAGTGTTACATAATTTATTTTCCTACAGAAACAAAAGGTCAATAGATCAGATCCAGTGATGACAATGACCTGACTATGACAAGATAACATGTCTTTTTTATGTTTTGTGCACATGTTGATCCTCCCTGACATAAAGAGGGCTCTATTATTATTATTAGCTTAGTTTGAAAGGCAAAGGACTAAGGTGTCCAGGAAACAAGAATAAGAATCTAGTTTTCAATTTGAATCGTTTACTGGAGTTTCAAACTGAGCATTCCATTCTAGGTGAATTCATTCTTCTTTCCTTTCATAAAAAATAACTCAAAAACTTACTGGTATGAGATCGGTCCAAATTATTCATGAGCCCAATTTCTCCATTTTTATCCATCCAAGATGTTTGCATTTTGAAAGAATCTCTTGTTCCTCTTGTCAAATTTTGACGGTATCCTGTGTAGCGGTCAGTGACCCCCATGGTGTCTCCAAATTGCTTGATGCGGTCAGCGGCATCCAAAGTGTATGGCTCCATGTCCTGGAAGCCAGAAATAAAACACAAATTACAATCTCAATAATCTAGCACCCACAAAGCAAACACAGACATAGTGAAAATAGCACCATAGCAAACAGATTTTCAGGACCCAAAGTTTTTCTTAAGTTATAATATATTGTTTTAAAATATAGCCTTGAATTCAACCATTGCAAAATTTTTCATGCTGTGGGATCAAGGGTCGCCTGTCCAGTCGGCAAAGAGTGGTGAAAACTTCACACCTCCCAAGTGCTATTTTAGCCTCTCTGATAATAGCATGCGTCAGTCTTACTTTTCCACTGCCACAAGTGCTTGCATGACTGTTTGACCAACTAAAAACAGAAATGATTGAACGTCTCCATTGTTTCCACCCTTAACCCCACCCATCAATGTAGTTAGTATAAGCACAATCAACCAATGCCACCCCATCTCCGGCATGGTAACAGTAACAATGAATAGCATCAATCTACAATACCAGTCCAACTGCCAATGCCTCTTTCCTTTAAAATTAAAACACAAAAATATCTATCCATGGAACAAAAAAATATTCTGTCTCCCCAAAAATTACAACAGATGAAGAGCTCTGAATTATACACACACCTTCTGAGAACTCTTGAGGGATGAAATAGCCCACTGGTGCAATTCTCTAAGTTCATTTTCTTGTTTTCCAAGAATATTACGATTTGCCAATTTACTTTTGTAATCATACAATCTGTTGCCAACTTGATTGACGGCACTCAAAGCACCTGAAATGGAAAGAGCATAGTGGAAAGGTTATAGAGAACTAGTTACAGGCAGGCAAACCACAGCTTGTACATAATGTACCACAATTTTGATTTTTTAAATTAGTTCATATTTTTTCTCCTAGGTGCAAGTAGGCCCTAATTGCATGCCAACAGTTTGGCAAGACAGTCCAGCAAGTAATAAATTATCATCATAACTTGACTTTGAAATTGTTAAACTTCCCCATACGACAGATCTTTGCATGTGTGTCCAAGTGATTTCATCAGCTTTCAGTCATACCTTTTATGATGAAGGGAAGGATACCCTAGCAATAAGCATTAGATTCTGAACTTCTTATTTCTTCCGATGATAAAGGGATTAGGCCCTATCAGGTCTAATAATTTTTATAAGTTATTCATTTATAGATGCTTTGCCTATCTTTGCTCTTTGATATGATTCTGAAGTTATATTACTACATTAAAAGGAAAATATTAATTCCAATAGGCATGAACTATGATTCAGAATAGTGACAGCAGACTGCACCAACTTGAACATAAAAAAATGGGATTTACGCTACATGAAATTATCAACAAAACCAGCTTACCGGACATGTGTTCATTGGTCTGTCTTGAGGTGAAGTTGCCAGGTTTACTGCGCCAGTCTTGAGAAGTGGATAAAAATGTATCATCCAGGGCAATATGTTCCAGGGCATTGTTTATCACAGACAACTCTCTTGCGATTTCCTCTGTCACATAGAAGTTTCCAGACTGGAGGACATCCTGAGAAAGAAGAGTCATCATCGTTTTTGCATGATTATTTAAAGGGCCATCCATACTGACAGGAGTAGCAATTGTGGTTTGGAAAACTGACTGGCTGTCACTTACATTGACCATTCCTCTTATTATCTAGCTAGGGAGAGAGTGGAAAAGGGAGGGATGGGGTGGGGGGGGGGGGCATTTTGTTTTGGGCCAAAACTCCATCAAACAAGTGTCTCTCTCTAGTTACATAGCAGTCTCGTCCTCTGAGAAATTCCCTCTATAAAATGCGACTGGGCAATCTTTGCTATAGCTGGTATAGTAAGGGCTAGCGGTATGCTTACAGTAGGAATACCAAACAAAATCATGGGTGGCTCAAAATTGAAAATGAAATAAAGATTAGCGCCATATATTCTGACAATAACATGTCGCAACCTCAGAGCTTTCTTGTCCAATCTCCATTCGTAATAACAGTGAAAACAGTTCATAACAAAAGGTAAGCTAAGAAGAAGTCACATTTTCAAAGAAGAAAAAAATGGAGATAGGACATGAAAGCACTGAGGTCGTGATGTACTGACAGTTGAGTAACTAAAGACAGGTTCAATAATAAAATAATAGATAAAATACTGAGTAGGCTTATTTAATCATAAAATCATGTACTGTTCAATGCTGTCTCATCCTTCATTTGTTATCAACAGAGAAACCAAATTGGCAACCAAAAGTGCATGATTTTCATGCAAAGTTACGTATCGTAACTGCATGGGTAGCAACAACAGTTGCAAGTTAACGTTGATAATAAAAATAGTGAAAAAATGAGTCTATAATATTGTCTTTTTTGGCATCCTCAAATAAGCAAAGAGCTTTTTAAATGTTGATAAATATTAGTTTGGATTTACTTGAAATTGAATTAAAATTATCAGCAATAAATATTGTCTGTTATCCAGCCAACAAAACGAGGCAGATTCTAGATCTAGTTGTTTTGCCGAGTTAATAAACAACTCATGCATAGCTTACTCACCGAATGTAAAGAGGAAGTAAGGCAAAATGTAAACCATGAGGATACATGGAAACAGAAGAAACATTTGCATATTAAAAAGACCATGCATGCCTTTGAAGACAAACTTTTATTTCCATTTTTAGAATTGGTGTATTTTTCTCTGGAAAACTAGATCTATAAGCTGGTTGTTCACTTGATCTAATATAGTAGTTATAGCAGCTAATGTGGTGGGATTTTTAAAAAAAATAATATTAAAGACCCAGATAGAGAGCTGTGGATTTAATTTCTACTAAAATTATAAAAGACATAGATCTAGATCTAATAAAAAGAACAGAGGAAATGAGCTTGATATATTATGTCACCCATGGTTTTTTTTGACAGACCGTATTCTCTTTCTCATGTTTTATTTAAAAAGATTTCTCTATATAAGCAGGATAGAGTAAAGAATTCCATGATCAAATATCAGAGAATATTATAAGCGGGTTAAATGCCGAACCAACTCGTCTTGAAGACCGGATCGTAGCAACGCAGACGAACTCTATACTCTATGACTCTATTATACATAAATAGATCAATCTAGTGACTTAAACTTGCCTGGATGTCGCCTCTGACCGCACTAACGGCATTACGCACAGCTCCGCCTGTTCTCATAGCCATATTGATGTTCCTTCAGAACAAAACTGAACTGAACTATAATATGAAACTGATTAATACAGGGTGTGTTTTAGAGTGTTCTTCAAATACACCATAAGGGGTCTCTGAGCTTCCTTAGTGATGACTGTGGAAGCGTTAGCAACACGAAATTTCGGTGTTCCTTCAAACAAAAGATTTCGATAGGCCTAGGGGACGTAATAATAACGTTTACGTCGTCTTTGCTTTGTATCGAGTTTTCCTGAACATGTGTGCAATATTAATATTATTATGAGTGTTCGATGTACGCATCAATTTTTTTTTAATGTTTGGTAAGTGTTTTGCAGTGTTCGCAACTGCATAAGGTCATATGAGGGCGCGGGACATATTAAACATTTGCAGTTGGTAGGAAATTTTGAATTTTGCCCAGGTGGCGGCCGAAGCTTACTCTTGACGATTTAAGACCACGTCCAAGGGGTCTTTAACGTGCGCAACTTGCACAACGGACTTCCGAGATTTTTCGCCCTTGTCCGAGAAGACTAGGTGTAGATCTTTCCTGCTACAAGATCAGGGGTGTGGCTGTAAGACACCAGTAAGAAGAAACCAATGAGTAGGCCTGGCAGGAGAAATGCTGCAGAAAGATTAATTAAGGAGCCTGGACTGTGTGTGTGTGTGTGTGTTGTGTGTGTGTGTGTGTGTG